TCAGGACAGAAGGGCGGGCGCTCGCAAAGACTTTGGTGTACAGCTTTATTTCATTGAGCTTTTCTATTAATCAACAGTGCAAGTAACATGGTGGTCTATTTCGGCGTTATTAGAATAGTGAAGTGCTCGTCTCTTTCACAACCAATACCGATACGTAATCCCATAAGTTGAGTGGTAGATCGACGACCAAACTTTTACTTGGTTTGTATCCTTTGTATCTCTATATTTTTGTCACGTGTGCGCGACACGTTTCTTTGACATGTGCACCGTACGCCGTGTCTCCGGTCCGGGAGAGGAGGTCCTCACGGGATCACCCTCGCCCCCCCTCCCCCTCGGCCCCCACCCTCTCCGCTGCATCCTCACCCCTTTTGCCTCCCCATTGAGCGCATTACACCCAATCTGCCATAGCAATGAGCCGACTTACAATTATTTTGAATTGCCACGATAAAAATTGAAGAACATCGAAAGTGCGGCCCATGGGCGTGGGTATAAGGGTAAAGAAGGTGTTAGAGAGAAAGATACACAGGAGGAGCGAGGGGGAGCAGGCGAGCGAAACAGAGTAGGAGGCCTGCAAACGGAGTCGACGGGACGAACGGACGGAGACAGACTTTCAAATCCTCCCGGAAATTATTATTTTTCTGTGACGCAGATTTCCTGTATCTATTCAGGGATTCTCTAGAGGTGCGCCTACCCACGCCTCCCCCTCCCCCGCCTTTCCTCGCTTCTCTCCGTGTCCCATTCTCCTGCGTGCGGGCAGCGGTGAAAGCGTTTGCATTCTTGACGATTTCATTTAAAGCGGCTGAGTGCTGGCGCTCCCTCTCCTCGGCCTGGCTCGCAGATCTCTCTCTCCCCGAACAAATAAGACTACGGAAACCCTCCCCCTCCCCCTGACATGCGTCGGATAAAAAGAACAACAAAGAAACAAACAAACAACGCGAGCGTGGCGCGGCGTGGCGGGGGCGCCTGGTTTTACGATTATGACCTCAGCCTGGCATTTGCACGGAGACGAGCCGAGCCTGATCCGCAACGCGCAGCGCCCGCCTCTGCTGGGGCTGCTGGGGCCCGTCGAGATTCTGGAGCCTTTCCGGGCCTTTCGCCTGGAGACCCAATATTTTCAGGAATTGTAAAATCGATCTAGATTCGACAGGGTTCTTGTTGGATGCACTTGCGCCAAGAGTGACATTGCATCCGCCTGGCTGGGACCAGAGAGGTACCTTTTTGGTGCATGAGGCCTAAAACTTTTCAAAAGTATAAGATGGTGTAATGATTTATTTTTCCCACAATAACATTTTAAACATATCTGTAATAGCTGTACCTTCACCTACTAATAATATGTTGCACCTACGAATTTTGTGGGGTTGAGTGATATCAGATACGCACGGG